GGGAAGCAGAGCCCAGCATGGGGCTTTAATGCACAACCCGGAAAACAAGACCTGAGCTGAGATCAAGAGTCAGAGACTTAACTGACTGAGACACCCAGGCGCCCCTTAGAATTGATTTTTATGTATCTGCTGTGTGCTTAGTGGTTGCTTTCGGGAGTAGAGCATACGTTTTCCTCACGATCTTCTCAAGGTTAACAGTGTACCATTTCAGATCAAATGTGAGAGTCCTGTGAGTGGATAGGTGCATTTATCATGTTTTCTTTGTTTTTTATGCCGTAATTTTTATAGGTGTTACGTCTGTTTGTGTGGGTAAGTTTTGTTTTGAATAGTCATATATACTTGAAGGAAATTAAGAGGAAAAGTAGTCTTACATTTACCATTTACAGTGCTCTTTGTTTCTTCCCAAAGGTCTGAGTTTCCATTTGGTAGCGCTTCCTTTCAGCCTGAAGCATTTCCTTTAAGCATTCTTATTGTGCGGATCTGCTATTCAATAAGTTTTCTTTTACCTTCTTTCTTGAAGATAATTTTTGCTGTATCTAGAAGGCAAGGTGACAGGATTTTTTTCAGGATTTAAAGATGTTGTTACTTCTGACCTTATTTCTAATGAGAAGTCCGTGATCATTCAAATCAATATTTATCTAAATGTAATGTATCATTTCTTTTTAGCTCTTTCAAAGGTTTTTCTCTTTCTGTTTTATTCTCAGTCATTTTACTATGATGTGCTTAGGTGTGATTTTCTTTGGTATTTTTTCTCTCATGAAATTCTTTTTAAAATTTTATTTTAATTTTTAAGGGAGCAGGCACAAGCAGGGGAGGGGCAGAGAGAGAGAATGACAGAGGATCTGAAGTGGGCTCTGTACTGACAGCAGAGAGACTGATGGGGGCTTGAATTCCCAAATTGTGAGATCATTGACCTGAGCCGAAATTGGATGCTTAACCAACTCAGCCATCCAGGTGCCCCTCTCTTCATGAAATTCTTAAAATCCGTGCATAAAATGAATTATGAGTATTTGAGAAAAAGAAACTGGGATCCTAAGAAACAAAGTTATCTGAAAAAACAAAAACAAAAAACTTTAAACTAGATAGACTTTATCTTTTCTTATTTAATGATCACATTACTGAAATGGTGGTCTGTGTTAGTGACTTACAGAAAATTCTATGTATTTGTGTCTTTCTCCTAATTTGAGGAGTTTTTACTGAGTATGTTCTTCAGTTTTTTATTTCTGCTCCATTCTCTCCTTTCCTTCTTGGAACTCCATTTCCATGGATGTTATATCTTTCAGTTTCTGAGGTTCTGTTTATTTTTTCTAATCTTTTTTCCTTCCTGTTGGTTAAATTCTATCAATCTTCCAGTTCACGGACTATCATCTGTTAGCTCTGATCTGCTTTTAAGTCCACCTAGTGAATTTTTAAATTTCAGATATTGTGCTTTCCAATTCTAGAATTTCTATTTGGTTCTTAAGAGTGTCTTTTATCTTCACTGTGATTCGCTATTCTTTTATTCATTATGAGTGTCTTTTTCTTATGTGTGTAAGTGTAATTATGATAGCTGTTTAAAACCTTTGTCTGCTAATTTCGCGTTTGTGTTATCTTGGGGTTGTTCTCTTTTTAATTTTTTTTTCAACGTTTATTTATTTTTGGGACAGAGAGAGACAGAGCATGAACGGGGGAGGGGCAGAGAGAGAGGGAGACACAGAATTGGAAACAGGCTCCAGGCTCTGAGCCATCAGCCCAGAGCCCGACGTGGGGCTCAAACTCACGGACCGCGAGATCGTGACCTGGCTGAAGTCGGACGCTCAACCGACTGCGCCACCCAGGCGCCCCTTGGGGTTGTTCTCTAATGATTATATTTTCTTTTTAGCATGGATCATAGGTCCTGTTTATTTGTATATCAACTCATTTTGGATTATATCCTGGACATTGCGAATAATACACTGCGGAGACTCTGGATTCTGTTGTGTTCCTCTAAAGAGTATTGGTTTGTTTGTTTTTTCCCCCATTTTTAGCAGATAGTTAACTTGGCTGGATTTTGACTCCATGTTATATCTTCTCTGTGTTGGTCGGCTCTTGGAGTCTGCCCACACACATATGCATCAGGGGTTAGCCCGAGATTTGGGCTAGGTTTATGCACAGATTTTTCAGCTTTCTTTCTCTGGCTCTGTCCTAATGGGCTTTCATCTCTCAGTTTCTACCTCTTCTCTTCAAACAAGTAAGATGATGGGATTCTAGTGTGCATGGCACGGACAGGTAAATTGCCCACTGCTATTATTTTTTCTGGGTGTCCAACCCTTCTCCACACTGCTTGCTTTGAATTTTTTCTTAAATGTTTTTATTTATTTTTGAGAGAGACAGAGACAGAGCATGAGCGGGGGTGGGGCAGAGAGAGAGGGAGACACAGAATCTGAAGCAGCTCCACAGAGCATGACATGAGATCTAAGCTCATGCACAGAGATAAGTACCTGTAGGATTGAGGACCATGACGTGGCGACACCCAAATCCCCATTGCTGTGCCCTTTGAGCGTCTCTCATGGTCTTCAAGGTAACCTTTACATTTTTTCCAGTGTTTATAGCTGTTATCTGGGAGGGTTGGCCTGATTAGAGCTTCTCAGCCATCTCCAGAAGCAGTGACCCTAAACTTTATTTTTAATAACTTCATTTTTTTTTTTTTCAGCGTTTTTATTTTCTTTGGGACTAGAGGGGGACAGAGCATGAGGAGGAGGGCAGAGAGGGGAGACACATGAATGCGGAAACGGCTCGATCTGAGCCCATCAGCCCAGAGCCACCAGGGGCTCGAACTCACCGGACCGGATGTGACCTGGCTGAAGTCAGGACGCCAGCAACCGACACCACGCACCAGCGCCCTCATTTTTTTAAAGCAAACTCTACGCGCAACGGGGCTTGCACTCAGAGATCAAGAGTTGGATGTGACGAAACAGACCAATAGGTGCCACCCCATCGACTTCATTTTTCTTTTAATTTTTTTTTATAAACGTTTATTTATTATTGAGAGACAGAGAGACACAGAGCGTGAGCAGGGGAGGGGTAGAGAGATGGGGAGACACAGAATCTGAATTAGGCTCCAGGCTCTGAGCTGTCAGCACAGAGCCCAGTGTGGGGCTTGAACTCACAAACTGCGAGATCATGACCTGAGCCAAAGTTGGTCGCTTAACCAACTGAGCCACCCAGGCGCCCCAATAACTTAATTTTTAAATAAGGAGTCGAGGTCTGTCTTACATACCATTTTTAGTTTTGTTTCTTTTCAATGACATTCAGTAGTTTATTGACCTATTTTCTTTCCTTTTTTGAAAATCAAAACATTTGCCTACTTTCAGCGTTGTGATTCACCTCCCTTTTCACAAGATACTCTTAAAAGTATGAATTTTAGCTTCTCATCCCTTTGCTCAAGTTCCTTGTAGATGCTGGAATATGAATGGAGCAAGACCAGAGGCTTGAACTCGTCGTGCTTTTTGCTGTTACTGTTCTCATGGACTTCTTCTCCTTACTGATGGTGGCTCTGCTGTGGCCGGGGAGTTGGCCTTCCCCTTGACTTAAGACCCGTGACGTGTCTGCCCCCCCACTACCCCCCTCCCCGCCTTTGCTGGTCTTGGCACACAGAGAAGGCCTCCAGCCCTGTCTGTTTGCTGCACACTTGTGTGTATGTGTTCATTTCTGTTGGTTTGTCCAGGCCTGCCAGCTCCAGAGGCGAAGAACAGCTCATTTGGGGGTCATTATTGCCAGTAATCTTTTTTCTTTCCTTTTCTTTTCTTTTCTTTCCTTTCCTTTTCTTTTTTCTTTTCTTTTCTTTTCTTTTCTTTTCTTTTCTTTTCTTTTCTTTTCTTTTCTTCTTACTTGAATGAAACTGTGTTGTCTGTAGGTAAAATATAACTTAGTTGAAGATCACCAGGAGGAGCTGAAGAAAGCTAAGGAGAAGATTCAACTAATGAAGCAAGAATTCAAAGAAAGAGAGGAGGAATGGAAGGTGACAAGTGAGGGTCTAAAGAGAAAAGCTGAAGAGGAAGTGACGCTGATGCTCCTTGACCTGAGGGAACAAGCTGAATCTGAGAAACAGTTAATAATAAACAAGTTTGAGCTTCGAGAAATCAAAATGAGGCAACTTCAGGATCAGCAGGCGGCCCAGATCCTGGAACTGGAGGGGTCCCTGGTGGAGCAGCAGGGCCGTCTACGGCAGCTGGAGCTCGGGCTCGCTGGGGACGAGTTTCCGCAGTGCAGCCAGTGTGGCCGGGAGCCAGGTGGTGGTCTGGCTCCTGTGGACAAGGACTGGGAGCTTGCTACACTCCGCCTGAAGGAGGATTGTGCCCTCCAGCTGATGCTGGCCCAGAACAGGTGGGTGACGTCCCTGTAGCAGCATGCTAAGTATAGAGCCGTCTGCCAGGTTCCCACCCAACCCCTGACCCCCCAGATGCCCAGCAGAGGGTGAGAGGCAGATCCCCTGGGAAGATGTGCTGTAGGCTCTCAGTAGAGCGGGAAGGTGTGCAGGAAGGTGGGGCCAAGCAGTCTTCACCCTAAAATAACAGCAGGACAGAAGCACATGTCCCATGACTCAGATATGCTGGAACACGGCAGAAACAGTGTCCACATCCTTCTGGTGGGATCTGTATTTTTTGGTGGACACTACTGTGCACGCATTTTCCACATCATTTTTGTTCTTTGCACATTTTAAAATTTCAAAAGCAAGACTTTACGCTTTTTTAATTTTTTTAATTTTAATTTTTAGTGTTTATTTTTGAGAGAGAGAGAAAGAGAGAGAGAGCATGAGCAGGGGAGGGGCAGAGGGAGAGGGAGACAGAATCCGAAGCAGGCTCCCGACACGGGGCTTTAACTCACGAGACATGAGATCATGACCTGGACTGAAGTCACATGCTTAACTGACTGAGCCACCCAGGCGCCCCAACTTTACACTTCTTTTATCAAAAAGATACGCAGTTTATCCGTGTTCTTTTTGTGTGTTTTTTAAACTCAAACATATATTTTAAAAATAAACTTTTTCTTTCTAAAATATATACGTACTTCCCTTAAATTTTAAATAGATTTAGATTGTGATTTGGTTCTTTGCCTCTGTCAGTGCTAACTCTTTGCAAACCAGGGCTGTAGAGACTGGGGTGTGTGGGAGCCATGGGATCATCAGACTTGATGTTGGTGCTGCCTTTTCTCCTGTGTCAGCTGTTACCCGCATCATGAGTCAGGTGCGAGAGCTTTTGACCTGGGGGCTGAGAACTTGAGTTCAGATCTTGACCCACCCTGTGTAAGCTGGATGGTTTCAGGCACCACACTCAACCTCACAAAACCTTCGTGATCTCCCTGTGCGGTGATGCTAAATGGGATGATCTGTGGCAACGCTTTCAGAGGTATCTGGTGGAGGGCTGGCACAGGGACACAGTCACAGGTCTTAGCCTTGGTGAGAATTGAACAGGGACCTCACTGGTGTGGAATGCGTGCCCAGTTGAGCTTTAGGCTCTCTGATTGGAAGGGAGTCTTTCTGCCTGCCTGTGTGTTTGCCGGCCAGCACCACGTGTGGCTCTTCCTACTTTGCGTCCCTTAATTCACAAGCGAACTTTTTCTGAGGTCTTTGCGGCCCTGTGGGCTCCTGCAAGCGATGCCGCCACCCCTTCCCTGTCGAGATTCTTGTCGCCGTGAGTGAGCAGTCACACCTGCTTTGCTGTGGTGCCTGTCGGAAACGTGTGTGTGCTTTCTTGCTGTGGCTCCTGTCTCCTCCAGTTTATGAGCGGGCACGCCTGGGCTCTGGCCTTTGAACTCCTCTTCAGTGTGGCCCCTTCACTCTGCACTTACTTCTGATGGTGGTGGCCTCAGACCGGCCATGGCAGAGGGAGGAGCGGCAAGGGCAGTTAAAATCCAGGGGCGATGTAGCAAACGCGAGTTGGTTTTCAGAGTGATGTTGGCACTCTTGTGGCTGCACATCCTGCTGCCCATATTCACTTTGCGTGTCCTCTCAGGTTTTTAGAAGAACGGAAAGAAATCACAGAGAAATTCACCGCGGAGCAGGATGCCCTCCTTCGGGAGGCCCAGGAGAAGCATGCCCACGAGCTCCGACTCCTCCGGGAGAGACACCAGCAGCACGTTCTGTCCTTGACGGCGGAACTGGAGGCCAGACACCGGGCTCAGGCGGAGGAGCTGCGGGCCTCCATGGAGAGTGAGCACTGGGCTCTCTTAGAAGCCCGCGTGGCTGAACTGCGGACGAAGCACGCTGCCGCGGTCAGTGCTTTGGAGGCCAGTCACTCGTCACATCTGGATTCCCTGGAGTCACGTCACCGGTCTGAGATGCAGGCCGTGAGGGAGGAGCACAGACAGGCTTTGGAGCAGCTGCGGGCACACCTCGCGGAGCAGCTGCAGGAGAAGGACGCGTCTCACCCTGCGGTGCTGACTCGAGAGCCAGAGGACGAGCTGAACCGTGGCCGGGACCTTCCGCCCGTAGAGGACAGCCTGAGGACGCCCGGGAGCACCAGCTGTTCTGAGGATGGGAAAGCCCTAGCTCCCCACGAGCTTTGGGGAGCGCCACAGGTGAGGCGGGTGTCCGGGCAGGTCCTTCCTGTCGTCCAAGTGCATGTGTCCATGAGCGGGTCTCACGGACTGCTGCCCGTCCTTGGCAAGTTGTGGGGGCTTCCTTATGGTGGGTTAGAATGTGAGCTTTTTTTTTTTTTTTTTTTTTTTTTTTTTTTTTTTTTTTTTAATATTTATTTTTGGGAGAGTGTAAGCAGCAGAGGAGCATAGAGAGCGGGACAGAGGATCTGAAATGGGCTCTGCACTGACAGTCTGACAGCAGTGAGCCGGATGTGGGGCTTGAGCTCGCAAACTGTGAGATCATGACCTGAGCTGAACTCGGACGCTTAACCAACTGAGCTACGCAGGTGCCCCTAGAATGTGAGATTGTTTCGTTTTTTTGATTTTGTTTTTTAAGATTTATTTTTAAGTAATTTATCCAATGTGGGGCTTGAACTCCCAACCCCCAGTTCAGGAGTTGCATGTTGTACTGACAGAGCCAATCAGTCAGTCTGTTTTAAGAGTTTTAATCGCAGAGCTCTTGGTAAAGGCTTTGATCTCTGATCCTCGGGAGATGTGCACGTGCACGCACACATGGAATTCTGTGTGAGGTGTCAGGTTTCAGGGCGCACCTCGAGGTGGTCTCTGACCCTCGTGGTAAGACAGTTCCGAGGGCCTCCTGTTGTGCACACATACACCCTCAGGTTCCCTTTATTGACGCTTCATGAAATTACATCTTTCTGTCCTGTCTCAAGAGCAGTGACTGCTTCTTTTTTTTTTTCCTTATTAAATATTTATTTATTTTTGAGACAGGGAGAGACAGCATGAATGGGGGAGGGTCAGAGAGAGAGGGAGACACAGAATCCGAAACAGGCTCCAGGCTCTGAGCTGTCAGCACAGAGCCCGACGCGGGGCTCGAACTCACGGACCGCGAGATCATGACCTGAGCCGAAGTCGGATGCTTAACCGACTGAGCCACCCAGGTGCCCCGAGCAGTGACTGCTTCTTGACAGGTACTTTAAGTTTTAGTGTGGAAGTGAATTTCTGGAAGGGCCAGCACCCCCCTCTCCTCACCTGCAGACCTGTGGCACATGTGTCTCTAGACTAAGCACTCGTCTCTTTGGCCTGAAACCGTCTCGTCACACAGACTGGGGTGGCTATGGGTTTCATCTCACAGTGGACGGGCCTACTCTGTCCCCTGTGCCATCAGCGGGGCATGCCAGGCTCCCAGACGTGGATGGGGTCAGCTGCTGCCCCGCGTAGGATGGGATGTGCGCCTTCTTCCGCCCAAGGGTGGTGGTGGCATGATCTCCAGCTGGCGGTAAAATCAAGTAAAAATCACTGTTCTGGTGAGTTAGTGTCTTGTCAAGTATTTAGGAAGTCGGTGTTCCGGACTACAAAGCAGGAAGTCTCCGACTCGCGTAAACACAGGGACCACCTGCTTCACAGGTGCTTTTGTAACAAGGTGTTCCTGTGATGGTTTCATCCTTCGTTCACGGTGACTGAGCTCTAAACATTGGTTTACCCTCTGACTCTGTTCAGCTCTACTTAAGATTGGAAGGGAAAAGGTAACCCTGCTTTTAGTAGGCATGGTGTCTTCGTTTTACGTTTAGATTCGGCCTGTTCCGTGTCTCCCGAGGTGTGGCCTTGGGGAAAGCCCTGGAGTTCCTGCATCCTCGAGCTCAGGCCTCAGCACAGGTGTGGGTGGCTCCAGCCACGGCTTCTCCTCAGGAGTGGGTAGAGCCGCCGTGCCCCTCTGGTGTGAACGTGGGGAGCTGTGTGAGGATGGTGGGCGGTGCTGCAGGCCAGTGCTGCCTTCTCCAGCCGCGGGTCCTCCGATGTTGGCTTTGGTTTCCTTCTTTGCAGACAGGTCCTATGGGGAACAGGGCCCATTCCCAGCCTGTGGCTTTACGTTAGATTTTCTTGGTTTAGTTGATTCAGAATAAACGAAGTTTTAAAAGAATATTCCAGAGGGAGAAACGGGTACATTTTACACATGAAACTGTGCTTGTATTTAATTTATTGATTGAAACTGCATTTTATTTTTATTTTTATTTTTCAGTAGTAAATTCTTTTTTTAAATTTTCATTTAATTAATTAATTTTTAATGTTTATTTATTTTTGAGAGAGACAGAGACAGAATGCGAGTGGGTTGGGACAGAGATAGAGGGAGACACAGAATCCGAAGCAGGCTCCAGGCTCCAAGCTGTCAGCACCAGACCCCGACGCGGGGCCCGAACTCACGAGCTGTGAGATCATGACCTGAGCTGAAGTCGGACACAACCGACTGAGCCACGCAGGCGCCCCTAATTTATTTTTTTTAACTTACATCCAAGTTAGTTAGCATCTAGTGCAACGATGATTTCAGGAGTAGATTCCTTAATGCCCCTTACCCATTTCCATCCCCCTTCCCACAAACCCTCCAGCAACCCTCAGTTTGTTCTCCATATTTAAGAGTGTTTTATGTTTTTGTCCCCCTCCCTGTTTTTATATTATTTTTGTTCCCCTTCCCTTATGTTCTTCTGTTTTGTCTCTTAAAGTCCTCATATGAGTGAAGTCATATGATATTTGTCTTTTCCTGGCTGACTAATTTCGTTTAGCATAATACACTCTAGTTCCATCCACGTAGTTACAAATGGCAAGATTTCATTCTTTTTGATTGCCGAGTAATACTTCACTGTACATATATATATGTGTATATATATATATATATATATATATACACATGTATATATGTATATAGGTATATATGTGTACATATATATGTATATATACACATATATATACATACCACATCTTCTTTATCCATTTATTCATTGATGGACATTTGGGCTCTTTCCATACTTTGGCTATTATTGGTAGTGCTGTTATAAACATTGGGGTGCATGTGTCCCTTCAAAACAGCATACCTGTATCCTGTGGATAAATGCCTAGTAGTGCAATTGCTGGGTCGTAAGGTAGTTCTATTTTTAATTTTTTGAGGAACCTCCATACTGTTTTCCAGAGTGGCTGCACCAGCTTGCATTCCCACCAGCGGTGCAAAAGAGTTCCTCTTCCTCTGCATCCTTGCCAACA